ACTGTATTGCCTTTTGGAATCAGTACTGGAGGTTTAGTATTCACCAAAGTTTTCAAAAGTCTTGTCACTCATTGGAGGTCAAAAGGTCTCAAGGTCATTCTCTATTTAGATGATGCTCTAAACGTTTCTGACAGTACTGAACAATCAAAACTGGACGCCGCTCTTTTGAGGTCGGATTTGAACAGTGCAGGATATGTCATTAATGAGAAAAAGTCAGAGTTCAATCCACAGGGATCCTTGACTTGGTTGGGTTTTGTTCTAGATATGAACCAAGGCAAAATTTTCGTTCCAGATTCAAAAATTGAACATTTGAAGAATTTGGTCATCCTTACGTTGAAACAGAAAAAGGTTACTTATAGACAAATAGCATCAATTGTCGGAAAAATCATTTCAATGGGACATGGTTTAGGGAAGATCACTTTGCTAATGACTAGGTATCTCAGCATGAAAACTGCTGGAATTTCAAATTGGGATCAATATACAGTGCTATCAGATTTTGATCGAACAGAATTAACATTTTGGTTATCAAACATACATGTATACAACGGTGTCGATTTGATAGAATGTCACGCTCCAGAACGATTTGTATATTCTGACGCTTCTGAAAGCGCAGCGGCTGGTTATATAATTGAGCATGGCGAATTCAAAAATCAATCTATCAGTTATCAAGCGTGGACGGATTCAGAAAAGGTAAAAAGTTCAACTTGGAGAGAATTAAAGGCAGTAGAAATTGTTCTAAGTTCTTTCAAAAGTGAGCTTATTGACAAGTCCGTTTCTTGGTCTACAGACAATCAAAATGTGTGCAGAATTACAAGTAAAGGAAGCATGGTCACTGAGCTTCAGGCTTTGGCAATTAGAATTTTTGAATTTTGTAGGAAGTTCAAATAGACTTGAATTTTTACTGGATTCCAAGAAAGTTCAATCAAAGAGCAGACGATTTGAGCAAAATGATCGATCCAGATGATTGGATGGTGTGTCCATCTATTTTCAAATTTCTGAATCAAAGATATGGGCCTCATTCCATTGATCGTTTCGCTAGCGTAGATAATACAAAACTACCACGTTTTAATTCCAAATTCGCCCAACCCTCTACCGAAGGGGTAGATGCTTTCAGTTTCAACTGGGAAAATGAAAACAATTGGCTTGTTCCACCTATTCAACTTGTAGGGCGGGTAGTCGATCATTTGATAGCTTGTAAGGCTATGGGAACGCTCATCGTACCAAAATGGACATCGTCTTATTTCTGGCCTCTCATTTTTAAAGATGGGAATTTTGTTCCAACTGTGGTAGATCACATAGAGTTTTGCAATCCCATGAATATTTTTCAACAAGGACGTTTTCTTAACACTGTGTTTGGAACGAAAAAGTTAAAATCACATGTTCTGGCCTTGAGGTTAAATGGAAAGTTGGGCACATCCTATTAAGCGTTTTAAAGATAGCATTGAAAGTCTTTATTGATTTTTAAACAACATATTTACTGAATTTACAGATATATCTTGATTTCATAGATCTCAATTGTAAAAGTATATTGATAGCCACTGAGAGTTACATTGATAGCCATCGAGAGCTTATAATGATAGCCACTGAGAGCTTATATTGATAGCCACTGAGAGCTTATATTGATAGCCACTGAGAGCTTATATTGATAGCCACCGAGGAGCTTATAAATATATAGCCACTAAGGGTTTGTAAATATAGCCACTGAGAGCTTATATTAATAGCCACTGAGAGCATATAATAAATGTAAATCAGAATTCAATTGTATTACTAACGATTACTAGATATTGATAAGAACATAATACATTGATTGCTAATATGAGATTATTTTTAATACCATAGTGATTGCCACTGAGAGCAAAATTTGATAGCCACTGAGAATATATGTTGAATGCTACAAAAATCATATTTAGAATATTCCTGAGTGCTTATAAAATCAGACTGCCACTGGAATACTATTTCAATTCTCACTAAGAGTATATTTATAATTATACTAAGAATATATTTAAAAATCATTGATAATTATTCAAATTAATTTAAATATATACATTGACTTAGAAAATGTCAACATAAATTGAAATGTTTTATTAGAATTATATGAATGAACATCGTTTTACAGTGATTGATGCAGAGGGATCGGCAGCATTCTGGCTTTAAACATAATTTTATTTTTTAGAGATTCCGCAGGTTCTCATGAGAGGAGTTTTTTGTCAATTGATTTATTTATTAGAAATACAATATGGTTCCAGGGTTATTAAACATGGTATGCTACAATTCGACAATGTGAAAGACACTCGCCTCAAATCTTTGTCGTTTGATCTTATGACTGAAATCACAAAACATGGGAAAAGCGAAAATACAATTAAGAAGTACAGTTTTTATTTCGAAAAATGGACTAAGTGGACCAACAGTTTCGATGAAGTAAACGATCTACCAGCCAACTCAAAGTTCGTAGCCATCTTCCTGTTATTACAGTTACAAAGTGGTTCATCATATAACGTTCTGTATGCTCTTAAATCTGGAATAAGCTGGGCTCACACATCTGCCGGTTTAGAGGACCCCTGTCAGTCTTACTTAGTTCGAAACATTCTAGATGCAGCTAAGAGACAAGCGAGTAAACCAGTTGTTAAAAAAGAACCTTTCACAGCGGATATGTTGCATAAACTGGTCGATTCTTTATCAGATCAAAGTTCTCTCAAAGAATTAAGAAATGTGACAATTTGCGTTTTGGGATTCGCAGGTTTTTTGCGTTACAGTGAATTAGCTCAGATCACTTTTGGTGATATTTCCTTTAGTGAATTTCATTTTACTATAAATATTCCGTCTTCCAAGACTGATGTATACAGAGAAGGTAATTCAGTTGTTGTTGCCAAAACTGGCAATCCTACTTGTCCTTACGCTCTTTTACAACGTTATCTAAAAGCGTTGAACTCAAAAAATGAGCTGTCAAAAGAGTGCTTTATATTTAGGGCACTGTCATTTAAGCCACTTCAAAGAGCCTTTGTTGCAAGAACAGAAAACAAACAATTATCGTATACAACAGTCAGGGAAATTGTCCGTAGTATGTTAAAGACCATTGGTCTTGATCCAAATTTATTTGGCGTTCATTCGTTACGTTCAGGCGGTGCAACTGCTGCAGCCAATGGTTCTGTTTTAGATCGTAATTTTAAACGTCATGGACGTTGGAAATCAGAATCCGCCAAAGATGGTTACGTTAAAGACGATTTAATACACAAATTAGGTGTAACATTGAACTTGGGTTTATAAATAAACAAAATATCATAAATAGCATTACTTCTTTCTCTAGTTTTTCTGTAAAGCGACCGCAAGCCATTTGCTTATTCTTAAGATGATGTCATGTTATTTTGTAACGAGGTGTAAAGTATGGTATAGAATAATCATTTATGTTCGGTTGAGTGTAATGAATTAGAACATAAATATTTTCTATTGTGTACTTGTAAACTCGGTTACCAATCAGATTGGCGTGTAGTTTCATGCATGTGTTTGTTTCTGAGTGAGCGAGTTGTATTGTTATTGTGGTAGATTGCTGGATATTTAGAATCATTCTGGCTTTGGTCGCCTATGCATGAACACTTCACAGAATAAAACTGTTAACAAATGCCGATAGGTGGAGGGGTAATTTCATACCTTTCCTAATTGTTAGGTTTTAATGGTGTGAAGGACCCCGAAATCAATCGGTATTTTCATTTTTCATAAACTATGTAAGAATATTCACACCCTTTTTGGTAAATATAAATCCGATGCAACAATCTGGGTTATATAAAAATTGTACAACACTTTTCTCAAATAAACTTAACAGCTGTTTTGTGCATTCCATTTATACATATATTGTACTTAGTATATGCATTCCATGTGTACTTATATTGTACTTATCCTTCCCATTCATTTACATACGAATAAAGCGACCGCAAGCCATTTGCTTATTCTTAAGATGATGTCATGTTATTTTGTAACGAGGTGTAAAGTATGGTATAGAAAACTTCTTTCTCAAGTAAGCTACTATGATTGGTTATTAAGAATTTAACAGGTTATCCATTGACAGCCCTAGTAGAAAAGCTTTTAGAGCCCATAACTCTTGCTTTGTTTCAAACACAACAGGATATGGGCCTCGTAATGATGAAAGGCCTGAGAGAGACGCTTAGGAGGGTTGGCCCCAGTGCTGATATCCCTGATGTGATACAGATAACTCTTGCCTATATTAAACGGGCGACAAGGTCTGTAGAGAAAAATTCAAAATTTGGCTTAACGTATCTTCTTTTACACACCTATTTTCTTAAAATGTATGGATAAACTATCAATTTTAGCATTAAGAAGTGTAAATTCAGTTCAAAGCTTCTATAAAGGGAGTCCCACTTATAGATTTTTAAGATCCATCACGTTTCAAGAGGAATATTAGTTGAAATAATGTTTATCCAGTTTCTTTGGAGAAAATAAAAATAAATGCTAGTCTTGATGAAATATCCAAACTTGAATATATTTTGACACTAAGGTCCATGATCGTTGAATGGCCCCTCTGCACTAATTGTTGCACCTTTAAGCTTTGTTTTGGTTGGGCTAAACTACCATAAGCTTCAATGTTAAAAATGCAATAGCCATTTAATTTCATGATTTATAATCTGATAATTCATGAAAATTTTGGTTGTCGAATGAAGGTTTTAAAGAATATTTTAACATTGCATCAATGCTATTTTATACTATTAAAAAGAAGTACAAGTAGGTCATTGAAGACTTAATATGCAAATCGCTTAAAATCTCATAAAAAAGAGAATTAGCAAGATTTCAAAGTTATATAAAAACTCCTCTCTTGAAAAGACAGCAAGAAACAACTTGATATGAGCTAAATATATAATGTAGGATGATTAATCAATTCATATCCAGTTATAACAAAGAGCAGAGTGTGAATTATTTTCTATAAATGACTGAATGTCTTAATCATGTTCGAATCAGTTTGCATGCCTTGTATAGAAATGCACTACACTTACCAGTACTTGTATGATAAAGGTAGATGCATCTGCTGTCTTGCTTAAGGCTGTGAAGTACTTGCCACTGGTTGTTGAAGGGCTAGGATATGGTTGGGGATCTGGGAACACCCACTGAGGTGCCTCGTCATTGAGGTCCAGCACATCAATTATCACATATGTGATGGCATATGAGGCAGCTAGAAAAGGTATATTTTAAGAAGTTGTCACAGATTTTTTAGAAATTTGAGGCAAAATAAATGAAATTATAGTTTTATCTCTGAATTTGAATTACTCTATGACTGTTAATTGAATAAAATAATATCCCAGGACAACAGGGTAGGGGGGGGTGCATTTAATGGATGGCTATTTGTATTAATCTTTCAGAATTCTATGCTATTATATTCAGCTTATGAGATTCACAAATGATATTCATTTCACAAAGCCCTGCAAATGGAATGTCACCTCAGTGATAGTGATATGGGTTTTCAAATGAAAATATTTAATCCTACACACAGGAAAGGAATGGCTAAAAGTGATGGAGCGTGATATTTAACAAGAAATATCACGATTTTTGCAGATGGAATGGAACAGGCTAAAGATTTTTTCTATTATACAAAATCTTAACAATCTAGTTTTCCAAAAAATCTGGGGTAGTCTAAACCCTGATTGAAACATTTATTATTTCATATATATGTGTCCATTCTATTTTTTTTCAAAAACATTTAAAGCTCCAACACTTTATTCTTATGTTGAATAATTAGAATCCCCATCAATATTTTAGACAGACAGATGGACACAAAGATAAGTAGGCTGAGCAAAATATCATTTGTAAATCATACCTCGCTTTTTGCTGATTTCTTTAACAGATACGGTAAGGTTGTATCGACTTGTTGTCTCTCTGTCTAGTTCGTTACGATTAACAATGGCACAGTCTTTCTTAAAATTTGTTGATATGACAGCGAAGTGGCCTGTAAACATAGTACCACTTTACACAGAAATGGTAAGATACATGGTAAAAAAATACACAAATCTCTACTCTGAAATATCTTAAATTATTTTTTGTTTAACTTCCAATTAATATCATGATAGGATCTTCATGTTTATATCATATTTCAAGTTATCTTACTCGTGAAAATAGTTAATTTATTCTAAATAAATAAACATTCTTTTACAACATGCAGGACCACTTGTAATTAACTCTTTAAATACAGCAACTGCAGCTTTGCCAATTCAGAGTCAGAATAGTATGAATGGGGATAACGCAATGATTAGGAAATAAGAATTTTAAAGACAAAGGGTGCAGTAGAACAATGTGTATCACCAAGTATTCAGTTCATATCTGTATTTACCTTCATCATTTCCTTCAATTATTTCACAAACAACATTCTTATCTGTAGCCTGGTTAATGACATTTAGTTCCCGTATGGTTGTATTAATTGTTAGCTCCTCATACACTCTAACACTGCATGAATAAACCATATATATAGTGTCATATTCAGATGAATAATAGCTTAATAATTATAACATTAAAACATTGACATGACTTAAAATAGAATTCTTAATTACATGTACATTTAATAATTTAAATCCATACATCAATAATAAGACATTTTGAATATTTGTTTTTAATTAATATCCGACAGCAATTAAAATCCAAAAATAAAAATCACAAATTTTATAACATGCAAAAACAACATAGTGTATATAAAAGAGAAACATGCCAAAGCAACCCTGAAGATATGCTGAACAATTACTAAACTTACTAATAATTTTCCAGACTGAAACCTAATTCTAGACTATCAGTATTACGTTCATGCCTCTCCACATTAATGGTGACACTAGCAGTAGTACTCAATGATGGAATCCCGCTATCACTAGCCATGACTAAGAACTGAAATATAGGAGAAAAACCCATGCAGAACCCATCATGCATTCACTTGAACAGACTGTACATATACACCGAAACCACCTACTTATAAAACCAATTTGAATGCAAAACAGATGTCAATACTAACCTAAGTTAAATTTGGGAGTTTTGCATGGTAGCAAATTTCTTCACCACTTTTTACATGGTAAAACCTCTATCCAATGATTTGATTTGGTATGTTGATATCTTTGACATCAAATGGCTGACCAGTACAAAAGACTGATGTTTTTCGACTTTTGAGGACTGAGTTTTTTTCTATTCTTTTTTAGCTGTTTATGTGATCTTATGTGATTGATTTTTATTTTGCAAGTTTTGTAAAATGCAAATTGGTTTTACAACATATTGAAGCAATGAAGCATAGAAGATGGATGACTTATGAGTTTACAGGGTGCCCCAAGTCAGCAAAATAAGCACAGTTCTTGAACACCCTGTACATGCTCTAGTGCCTTCTCTATCTAAAATGTAAATCAAGTATGGCAGAATAATACTATAGAATCTATAGCCTAAAATATAATGAGCAGCATGCATAACATAAAATTCTAACATAAATTCCTAATGCAGAATGCTACATGCAAAAGAAAAAATATGCAAATAAACTTTTAGTAAAATAAAACCATTTCTCAAGACCAAACTTCATTTTCTCTTGTGTGTGAAATAAATTATTAAAACATTTGTTGAGAAATGGATACCAGTCACCTAAAATATAAACCAAATTGTAAAACTACATGACATGCAAATGGTAGATTCCTGTTTACTCACTAGTGCTCAGGCACAGAGAAACCAAGATCATATGTTCCAATTTCACTGTTTTTAATGACATCAATTATGACAGTGCTTCTACCTGTTTGCTGAGGTGACCCAAGGTCTCTTGCTAGTACATCAAACTAATAAAACATGGCACAGATGAAATCCTTCAGGTCAAGAATGTCTAATAGGTTGAAAAACAATACTATTTTACATGTATATGTACTACAAACATTCAGTAACAAATCTTCACACATTAATATTTTCTAATTCATAATTTAATTCACACGTTCAAATTCATTGTACGTCTTTTAAATGTACAATAGGCATATTTTAATTTACCAGTCTTTATTTTTGCCAAAGTGGATTTTAGGACAAATTCAACACTATACAATATTTCTATTTATCTCTTACAACATGGATTCTTAAAGGCATTTACCTTTCTTACATTCAATAAACTGTATTTAAGTATACAGGTGGATCTCCAAATAGAACATACCTGGTACTGTCTAGTGTTAGGGTCTTCAATCAATTGCTTCTTGATGTATACATTGCCCAGTTGGGGTTGGATAGCGAAATATTGATTTGCATCGGCATTGTTAGGATCGATGGAATAGACTATTTGACTGTTAGGGCTCTGAAATACACAAATAAATCAATGGAATATACTATTTTGCTTTTAGGGCTCTAAAATGCAGAAATGGATCAACAGAATAGATTATTTGGCTGTAAGGGCTCTAAAATACAAATGTGGATTAATGGAATGGATAATTTGCTGTCAAAGCTCTGAAATACACAAATAGATCAACAGAATAGACTAGTTGGTTGTCAGGGCTCTGAAATACCCAAATAAACATTACTCATTACATACTTCACAAGCTTTCTTTCATATTGGCCTTAACTTACATTTGGTTGCAATTTTACATCATCATCTGTTGCCTCAACCCTAACAACAACAAAACCTGGAATCTCCCTGTCGTCAACTAATGCTGTATAGGTGGCATTCACAAATTGGGGAGCATTAGAGTTGCGGAGAACTGTTATTGTGATTCTAGATCTGTCTTGTTTCTTGGGTAGACCATTGTCAGTTGCAACAATATCAAACTGAAATTAAAATTAGAGACATATGGAAAATATTAGCAAGGAATTAACATGCAAAATGTCATTACTTCCATTTGTTACAGACAACGACCACCAACCACCAAACACCATTCACAAAAAGTTTTTGTGGTGACAATATCTCTCATATTTTCATTTCAAAGATTGAAGCTCATTTTCTACTGATTGCTTGATCATTGACAGAAAATGATACAAGTCTATAGTCATTAACAGAACAATTTGCTTAAAAAGAATTGCATTCCACTTCCATTGGAATGATACAAGTACATGTAACCATTGCAAATAATCTGAATCCTGATCCTGAATCGTTATTAGAGAGAACAAATATAAACACACATATCACACCGATTTTTGTCTATTGATTGGGAAAAGTAGATATCTTACCACATATTTAGGTCGCTTCTGGGGGTCAGAGGTCAAAGACTTAGCAACAAAGACTTCCCCAGTTTTTAGACCAACCATGAAGAAGTCTAAGACACCATCATCTCCATCTACAGGCTCTAGGGTGTATGTTATTTTACCTGGACCAGACTGAAACATCACATAATAGAAAAAATAATAAGAGGACGAGGATGGTGAATACCTGTGGCATCCAATATAGGAGCAGGTTTTAAATTCCAATCATTTAATAGATATGATTCAAAAAATGACAACACCTGAAGATAAAGACAAGCTCATACAAGTATTCAACAGTGTTTACCTTTAATATCTAGTACAGCAGTTATTTACTTTACACAAAACATCTCTGTATCAAAAATAAAAAATCGCAAAAACTAGCCAATATAATAGCCAATAAGTATGCATTACTTCATTTTTCTAAAAATCAAAGCACTTTGAAGTACAGGTATAAGTATACTGGGCAGTGTTTTCAATCTGACGTATGAATAATGACTGAATTTGAATCTGAATGATACGAGAAAATGTATGTTACATGGCAATGGAATCTACTAAAATGACTAATGGAGCAATGAACAGATTAATAAATCAACTGAATTATAGCAGAGGACATTCAAAAGACAAAACTTACATCTCCATCCTCATCCTCAGCCTCAGGTTGTATGACAGTTTCCACTATAGGTGGAAAATAATCAGGGATTGTCTTGGAATAATTTGCTTTACCAAACTTAGGTCCATTTGGATTACGCTCCACATTCACTGTAATAGTCGCGGTGGCACTCAATGGAGGTTTGCCACTGTCTGTTGCTTTGACATCGAGCTTTAAAATAAAGGATATTAAGCGTGAATTTTCAACAGAACAAAACAGAATAAGACTTGATTAAAAAATGCTTATTGAAAACTAAAATAACATGCAACTTGACAGAATATGAATACAGGTACATAGATGTTTGAGGTTAAAAAAAAATCATCAGACAGATGTTTCAGTTAAAAGAGTTGCTTTCCCTTTACCCACATTGTATAAAGTAAATTTTCTAAATTGTATGTACATACCACATACTGCGTAAGTATACCACCAAAAAGGGGGCGCTTTAAGGATAATATGCCAGTACCAGGATCAATCTTGAAGTAGTACAGTCCTGGAGAGTCACCTGTTAACTCATATGTTATGGAATCCTACAAAGCATACACACAAAGAGTCAGAGACTAAGAATAATGTACAACCTTAATTGACTTTAACTGACCATTTTGAACAGGAAATGTGGTAGTGCTATTCTATTTTATCAATTCTAAACCATCAATGGACACATGTACAAATATATATTACATTGAACATATCAAGGATAAGAGCAAAATACACCTGCTAACTACCCTTAAATTGTTTAGTATATTATTATAGATATTCAAGAATATTCCAATCCCAAACGATTGATTAAATATTGTTGATGACATGTACTCATAATAACTCCTTTGGTAAGCATTTCTTTATGGAACTTCTTATATTCAAAGTTAAATAATTACCCCATCGATATCTGTAGCATCGAGTTCCAGAATACTCTGATCAACTTGTTTAGACTCAGATATGTTCACTGTCTTTGCAGGAGTCGTAAATTTAGGACCATTGTTGTTACGTAATACATTTACCACCACCTGTGCAGGGTCAGATTTTTTTGGGGGGCGTCCACCATCAGTGGCTTCTACATTCAACTGGAACAGAAAATGACTGAATGTATTAGGGATCAATCTAGTGTTTTTCATAAAAAGTTTTTGGAATATCAAGGGGAATCAACTGAAATTGATGAAGATGGCTCCATGGGTAATAAAACATGTGATTGAAAAGTTGAATATCAATTCTAAATAAATGTTTCCAAAAATTGTTACATGTAATTCTAATACTACTGAACTGTTACTCCTTCTAGGGAAGGTACTGTAGATTGACGGTGTGTTCAGCAATTAATTCTAGTCATAAAAATGAAATGGCTAGCACCTACCACATATTGTCTGTTCCTCTGGGGTTCCTGAGTCAGTGGTGTAGTAACCACAATTACACCTGTCTCGGGGTTGATGTAAAAGTAATCTTCCACACCATTTGTGTTAATCAGATGGTAAGTTATTTTACCATTAACACCCTAAAATAATGTTTATCAATACAATACATCCTGTTGTATATATACTAAAAGACAAAATAGTTGCATGCTCTTGAATATTACATCAATGTAAAAAAAAGTACAAAGAAAACCTAAACGTGAAACTGTTTTCTTAGTGTTTATCTCAATAAAAGTTACATGTTTACATATATCATAAAGAGGGTCCAAGTTAAGAACTTTTACTGCATCATTATGTACCAGGGAATCAGGAGATTGAGTCCAAATTTTCACAATAGCCCCCGATATAAAATTTGACACTGTATTTGGAAATTGGAATGCTTGTTATGAAAACATGCTTGATTTTAAATTTCGTCTGATTCGGAGAACATCACTCAAGTTAAACCAAAACTGGATAGTACAATGAATCACTAATTAGCTACTCTACTCACAGGATCTTTATCATTGGCAAACAGCTGGGTGACATTCTTGCCTACAGGGTAAGTCTCAACGATTGTCACATTAACATTGTCATTGGTGAATTTTGGTACATTCTTGTTACGCTCTACATGCACTTTTACTAGGGCTACATTGGTCTGTCTCGGGTCACATGAATCATAGGCTATCACACGTATCTGGAGCAAAGATAATATTTGAAGAACATGTAATTTAAATAACAAATAAACAAACATTCACTTATTTGTTACATTTATGGCAAGTTACATTTATCTAATGCTAGTCTTACCACATGTTTTCTGAACTGAAAGTCATTTTTTGCGTTTGCCCATATTCACATGGGATGTTTTAAACAGTTTCATCAGCCAATGGGCCACAACTCCAATCTTAATATCATGAATCTCATCTTCAGTACTTACAGAATACATCTCATTATAATCTCCCTCAAGAGAAGCATTCAGTTTCACAACTCCTGTGTCAGGGTTGATGATGAAGAAGTTTGGTGCTTGGCCATCTCCAGCTATCTCATACGCCACTGGGCAGTCTTCATCTATGAAACAATATATAACACATACATGTACAGACTAACACATAGCAGTGATCTCCCCAGGATTTTTTCTCAGATGGGTGCAAAATTCTTATCTTCACAATTCAGCATGCCAATTTTTCATGATTTTTCTCATTTTCAAGTGGGTGCAAATGTATTTTCAGTTGGGTGCAAGCCTATTTTCAAAATTTCAGGTGGGTGCTGCACCCACTTGCTTTAGTACTGGGGAGATCACTGCATAAGCCTTGGGAAAAGGCTAAAACATTCTGAGATAATGTGACAATCTCAAGATTAGAAGCAGCACATACCTCATGTTACTAGTATATTTTTTTATTCATATAGTTTATTTCGCATTACATATAAAAACATAAACACTTGTAGCAGCTTTGCTGTCACATAATAATCAGCCATCATGATGGAATATAGTGAAGAAACTAACCAAATAGGATTCTTAGTTACAGTTTAACCATTATTAACAGAATAAAATTGAATTTCCTCAAGACATCAAATAGCTTAATAATGATGTATTCCCTACCTATAGCTGTGACATTCTCTACAGTGGTACCAGGCTTAGTGTCCTCTGGTATAGTGACATCATATTCATCCTTAGGTACAAAGACAGGTAACTTATTGTTAGGGTAGGCTGTGATGGTCACTGTCACTGATGATGTGAGGCTGGGTACTCCACTGTCTTTGGCTTCAACCAATATCTAAAAAATTAAACCACTGGGCTATAGATAATGCATGAGTGACCAGATACATTCAAGTAGTAGAAGAATATGTGCAATGTTTAACTTTCAAAAAGCCAATATTTGGTCAGTTTGAAATTCTATCATGTATGACCTTATGTGTTTCCTCTCCGTTTCATACATGTATCTGTTTTTAGAATATCCAAGTTATTTTTTACAAGAAAAATAGTAATTATGATGACTTACGATGTGATTTCATTGCATATTCTTTTTGTCAATAATATCCCTAAAAATTGTTGTTCAAAAGACTCGGAAAGACTCCTTTCATTCATTTTTCTGAAAATTCATGTAAGTCAAAGTACATTCAGTTCCAGTACTTAGCCTACCTCATATTTTCTGTCAGCGGTTATCTGATCAGGTACAAGTGAACTATGTAGACTGATGATACCAGTGTCGGGGGTAATCTGGAATCTTTCAGCTCCCTTTCCATTTACAAGGAATGTCACTTTGTTGTTAGGCCCCTGAAATGTTATCAACAAGGACTAGTATGTGTTCAATTGTAGTTTCAGCTGGAGAATGTCACATGTACCTCAAACTGGGGTGACTACATTTGTTGACATGAGGCTATAGCTTAAAAATGGGAATGGATTGTAAGTTTCTCACCATAAATGGTTACGTGCACCACAGTATGTATTACAAGTATTTCTCATCTTATAATTTTGTGTGCATGCAGTTTACTGCAATGACATAATTACAGGCGCTCAAGAAATGTATAAGGTGCAATGGTGAGATGATTCTTGCAGGACACAAAAGAAAAAGGGTAAAAATCATGCTGGCCAAAGCCACAAAAATGCACCCAAAACAGTGTTAATTACCTCGCCATCCCTATCAGTTGCAGAGACCTGAACAATCTTCTTTCCAATTGGCCAGTTGTTGGGAACCCGTTTGTCATAGCCATCTACTCCCAGGAATGAAGGAGGTTCAGTGTTGCGGTTTACATACACATAGAGTGTTGCAGTGCTGCTCTGTGCTGGGTAACCATTGTCCTTAGCCTCCACAAGCACCTAGAAAATATACATCTAACCCTACTATCACACCAAACTAGTTTTCACTTCGTTCTCCAAAACGGGCTTCAAATGTGTACGAACGGACTGGACGTACTTAGAACCGTTTGGGGTCTTTTTACAAACTTCATCGAACATACTCGAACGGTAGAAAATATACATATACATGTACAACAAATGTTACATCTTTTGTGGAATTTTGACATTAAAATCTCATAAAAATCTGGATAAGAATGTCTTTTTCTCATAACTTATTGATCGACTTTAACATTACAAAGCAGATTATAGAAAAAACATATCAAGCATGTTATATTTATGCGGTATCTAATCACAAGAAAGGGATAGAGTGAAGATAATTTGGGAAAAGCTTACTACAAATTATATTCTTTTATATAAGCTAGTTGATCTTATAGTATGACTAATATCAACTCACAGTGTACTTGGTGTTGAAGTCTGGATCTGTAGCTAAATCTTTGATGATCACTATCTCTCCAGTTGTAGGTTTGGCAAAGAAATACTCCTCTGATTTAGGATCTCCAACAACCTCATACCTGATAGTGTTCTTGGGACCCTAAAATAAGATAAGAACATATTAAATGAAATGATGACTTTATGTTGAAATAAAGGAATATATCTGAATATATAACACAATTAAAAAATAAAAATTGTTCTACTAATCCGACAGTGAAGAGATTCAAGGACACAATGAAGTAGAATTGTAGCAGTTAAATAAATGGATCATTTTATCATTATCATTAATACTAATAATATATCACAAAGTCTATTTAATACAAACAGAAACAATCGTCATGTTTAATGAAATTAATTTATATTGAATCTGAACTGTATATGGTTAAACAGGTCATCAAATACCATTACAATAAAATTGTGAGGTATTTATTTATGCTTACTAACAAACAGGATAGGACTACTATTTTAATAATATCCAAGTAAAATGACTGACAATATAATGAATTGAAGTGAATAAACATATTGTGCATGTAACCGATATAGTATTCAATATAAACACACTTGTTGATATGTGCCTCAGAACTTACAGGAAGATCAGCATCTGTGGCTGTAACTGTAACAATAGGTTCTCCCTCGGGTGTCCCATCATCAACCGTGACATTACGTTCTGGGGGCGAGAATATGGGTTTGTGCACATTCCTGATTACATTAATCGTCACGATTGTGTCAATCTCAACTTTAGGATTTGCTGTGTTGCTTGCTCCAACATTCAGTGTGTATGTTGGAGTGGTCTCGGTATCCAAAGGCTTTATTACATATAGTTTCCCAGTATTTGGATCAATTCTGAAGAAATCTGTTGCAGGCGCAATTCCTTTCAATCTGTATCTCATTTCTCCCTAGAATACAATTATTAAGGTTAAAAGATTTTGAAAGTATGGAAATTATACAGAGGTTATGATAATTTTACACAAAACATTATTCCATCCTCCGATCACAGGGCTTCAAAATCCAGAATATCTTCTTTCTTTTTACATCCTGCTATAAGCAGTTAGCATTGCCCAGATTAAGAACTCGTAATTTGATTCAATCATGTATATGTCATTGGTGCATAATTAGATCACGTGACTCAGTTAACTTGGCGCTTTCAATTTGGTTACAACAGGGGGGAAAAAGGAGGTACGGATTCTGGACAGCTGCTTAGGAGGATGCATTATTCAGACAGTGATTTCTTTTATTTATTATATTAGTGTGAAATATTAATATCAAATAGATGTACTGAAGAATACTGTTAATTTAGTTATAGTGATAAATATTGATCAATATATAAATTCACTCCATGCTTATCACATCAAACCACTCATAAACTAAGTAGCAGCCTTGCAAGCCCATCATAATTCTCGAAATCGCTGTTCCCTCTTCAAAAGAGGAGACGCGAAAATCTTTCCTTATAAGGTCAAAATATTTCCCATGATGCAGTTCGAGGAGGAACAAATTTATACTTCCTTGTTTTCCCTCATAGGTTTAACATGGGGATTTTAACACCTATTTTTCAAACGATATATTCGTTCATATTCCCGTACGAGGGTACAGAAAAAATTATTAGAAACGATTGATCTTTTATTAATCTTAATATAACAGCTATTTGTTTCATTGTATTGATTCATAGCGTGGTGAAAACGATGATTGAAAAGTGAGAAAATATTCCGGAAGAGAAGGTCACATGATCAGTTGGCTAGTCGCCATATTGGAAAAAACAATTCCATTCGACTTTCAATACTTTCATGCCAATCTTACCGCACTACAAACTGCATCATCGATGCAACAACGGAATAAAAGTATTCATCATCAAATTACATCATAGAGTTACGTTGAAAACCAACAAATAACTGAGCAGTAGACCAAAGAAGAAGCGTCGCTATTATCTAGGTCACTCTGTTCAGTGGTCCGAAAGCAAATCTATAGTACTCGTTTCCGAATTTTGTTGTTCATTGTACAATCTTTTATTGATTAAACTCGGTATACAGACTATTAAAGCAATGACAAAGAAGAATACTTCCGATGTTGTCATTGTTTTATTTAGCGTACGGGTGTCAAAACAAAATTGCGTAATTAGTTTGATTTAGAACTTTCGGGTCACGCAAATTGCTACGCGAAATGCATAGTGAGAAAATATAAACCAATCAAATTTTGTCCTTTTTGAGTGCTTTTTCAGTACATATTTGCGAACGTTCTGATTCAAAGAGCGAATCGCGAAAGGGAGAATTATTACTTCAAGACCATTACATACAAGACTGTTTACTTACCAGAAATTTATATGACACAATTAGATATAGAATTGATGGAAAATAAAATTAAGTTCATCACATAAAACAAATGATCTAAAAATAAGATATTTCATGGTCTGGTTCACGAAAATAAAAAAAAAATAACAGAAATAATTGCCTCCTTCATAAATGTTCCTTTCATTTGATATTCACTCATCCAGGATCAACGGATTTTATTCTAATAAAATCATTTGGTGTTTGAATAACTTGTGTGACAATAATGTTCACTTTCTATTATGACCAAAAATGTTCTTTTAACCCTTTCCCGATGTGGAAATAAGAGGAAAATGTTGGCCTGGTGACCGATAAGTAAGAGCGTTTTCTCGGTAAAGACTGAAATTACACATACCCCAGGACCTAAACTTTAAATTTTATCACTAAAATACTTTTTTAGTGAGCATTATCACATGTCAACAACTTGTCAAAATTTGGTGTAAAAATACTGAATAGAACTGGAGATATTGCCATTTCATTGATGTACAAGTATGCCTTTATGACTAATATGTCAGGTCATGACATCTAAAGAGTCAATAAAAGATATATATATATGTAAATAAAAATATTGGTGCCAAAAGGAGCCTATCGTCATGAAAGGTATTACATAAAAGGGCCCCATATGGAGCCTATTGTCGTGAAAGGGTTAAGTAACTCACAGTTCCATCAGGATCCTGGGCAAGAACACCATCGAATGGCTCTGTATCGACAGGGTGGTTCTCAGGCACATTGAATACATATGGAGTGCCCTGGAAGACTGGAGGCTGAAGATCCCTACTAATGAATACTACAACTGGGACTGTCTTTTTCCTCTCTGGCACCTGTTTGTCTGATGCCTGCACTGTGAACTACAAGAAATATGCTCTATTTATATAACTGTTATATGACAAGGATATTGTTAAAGTTTGGTTCTTCGATTATAATCTCACCTGTTCAAATTGAACTTAAATTTACATAGCTTTAGCATAGAATGGGTCATGGGTAAGTGAGAACCATGCAGAAGATTTATTCTTAAGAAATATATAGAACATTTAAGTTTTAAAAATTCCAAAAAGCTCTTTATATACTGTAATAGTGATTCTACTTACATCATATCTCATTGTGGCAGTATGTAGAAGTGTGTTGGTCAGGAATAGTATTCCAGACTGGGGGTTGAGCGAGAAATAATTTTTGCCATCATTTGTAGCTCCCTCTATAGTATACGTAAGAGTATCCTGAAACACAATTAAATATATTACAGTAAAACCTGTCTTAGTGAATACCTCTCTTTTAGTGAACACCTATGTTGAGTAAACACCACTTCAAGACACATTTTACATTGAGTCCTGTAAAAAATCCCCTCTCTGTAGTGAACACCTACCTTCAGTGAACACTTTTTGTAGCTCCATAGGTGTTCACAATGTACAGGTTTTACTGTACATCTTTATATGTGGGTGGGATTTTGTAAGAGGTATCTCAAATTGTTTTCAAACATCTTTAAACCTCACCTATTAACTTGATAAATGCCCAACACATGCAAAAATACAATTTGTGACAGAAGTCAATTGCAAAGTAATTGACACAATAAACTGTGTGACAATTTGATGATGAATGAAAATTGATAGTCACAAAAACAGTGGAAAATTGTGAAAAGTTGAGGATAGCATTATTCCATCGCCATCTTGTTTTGTTTGTTAGATAAAATCATTCTCCCATATAGTGCCAGGTTGTACATGTACCTAGCAAAATGCAGAAATTCCAACAAAGATGCATATCAAATTATTATTGGTTTAAAACTGCAAGGGTTTCAAACAAGAGAGAAACTATGTCATTATAACCCAGAATATCAAAGTGTGTCATTCAAGATATTTTTAACATCAGCTTGTATGGACAATGACATCACATGTCTAGTAAATAAATAGCAGTTCATTCCGCATACTACTGTATATACAGTGTACATGTACAGGGCGGAACCAAAATTGCATTTTCCTTTTCATTGATCTGCCCTTCATCCTTAATATAAGTCATTTGCTTACCAAAATATACATCTATTTATAATACTGTAGTGTTATTGTGCTTTGTTATACTTGATATAAAACTAATTGTCGGAGTGATTCACCTGCAAATCTATATAAAGAAAAATATATTTCATTTTTATATAATATTGTGAATTACTTTGCCTATTCCTTTTTTAGGTTATTGTTATTTATTTCTATAGAATTCAACATAATTATTTACATAGATTGTGAGGGGTCGAGGCTACATAGCATTATTGGCCCCCTCTAGAAAGTTAAAAACATAAACTAAATCACTGGAGTGTGTAGGATTGCAACGGACATCTTGTAATATATAGATACACTGTCCCACATGTTTTGTTAAAGAGCAACTGAAGCATACGATCTTTCCACAAAGATAAATTCAGACCAACATTTGGATATCTACATCATGTAGGTAGATTATAATTGATTTTATTTATTTGTCATATCCAGTATTCAATTTATTATAGGTTTAAACCCATATTAATATTGAAGTCATATTTGGTAAGTTAAAATCTATATATTAATTATAGGAAATACCCATATTAATATTTAAGTCATGGTTGGTAAGATAAAAATCCACATTAGATATAAAAGCAGGTTCCTCAGGCTTGTGACTGGGCATAGGTGGGTTTAACGTTTTAGTCCATGGAAACAATCCCCTTCCCTGCATGCAGACGGTCGTCCACCATGTCTTGCCCATGATGATGTATATGAATGTTAATGAGAGATGATGTGAAATGAGGAGAATGGTCATTCTAAGATGTTATCGATATAATTTGAAGATAGTTGAAGGCATTTTGTATTCAGTTCACTATTTAAATTTTCATCTCCATAAAGTATAAATTCTATTTTTTGCTTTCTGTTTTTCCAAAGTAGCACATAATATCAAGATTATCTAACTTAAGGATGTTCTCTATGTAATCATTTCTATGTATGGCGGTTAAAGGGCAGTCGAGTAAAAGATGAATCTTATCTTGATCTCGGTGCCACAGGGGCAAGAAGGATCGATGATGTTGTTGAAATGATGTCTAAAAAGTCACTTTTAAGGGCAAGGTCGCTTCTTATTTTATTAAGTTTAGTTTCAGAAGACCTTTTCATATTAAGATTTTTTGTTAAAATATTCTTTTTATGAAATGTATATTTCTTATTATAGTTTTTCTTGAAGATTGCTAGGGTTGGCGAGGTTTTTATTTCAGTTGGAAGATTTTTCCAAATGGAGATAGGCTTTATGGCTTGTGAATTTAGGAATTTTACAGATGCTCTCACGGGTAAAACATATTCTCTTTTGGAGCAGAGCTCCCTTTCGGCACCAGGATTGGACAGTTTTTCATATATAGATACTACATAAGAGGGGGTCAAATTTGATCGGACTTTGAACATGTGAATACTTTGTTTTTCTTCTCTTCTCTCCACTAGGGTTTTCCAGTTTAGACATTTATATAATTTTTGCTTGCACGTACCATAAATCGCCCCAGAAACTATTAGGGCTTCTCTATAATGGAGTTTGTCTAGTTGTTCCAGAGCACCTTGCGCCGCCGAACCATAGATTAAAGAGCCGTA